TGTTGGAAGACTTTAGGGATGGCAAGCAAATTTGTCACCTACAAAAGTCCCTGTATGGCCTTCGCCAGTCCGGTAGAAGCTGGCATACGATGTTGGACAAGGTATTGCGAAAACTTGGTGCGATTCCAACCAACGCCGATCCGTGCGTATATTGTGTTGGACGAGAGGAAGATGCAACGATGGTTGTTATTTATGTCGATGACATACTGATAATGTCAAGAGATTCTAACAGAATCAAGCAATTTCAAGGAAAATTGTGCAAAGAGTTCGAAGTGAAGAAACTCGGTAATGTTGGCTATTGTTTGGGAGTCGAGTTTGAAGTTGAGAAGTCAAAGATAACTATGCACCAAAAAGGCTACATCTTAGACCTCCTCAAACGTTTCGGCATGGAGAATTGCAACCCGATATCAACTCCCATGGATCCGCAGACAAAGCTCGTCAAACCAACGACCGCTGAAGAAGTGAAGAATTTCCCGAAGCGCGAATTGATAGGTGGCTTGACATATTTGGCCATCACGACTAGACCTGAAATCAGTCACGCAGTGAGTTCCTTGGGACAGTTCAATAACTGTCATGGAAAGGTCCATTGGACAGCAGCGAAGCGAGTGCTTCGATATCTGAGGGGTCTTGTGTATACAAACTGCCCCGATCCTATAAGAGGCTACGCAGATGGCGACTGGGCAAATTGTGCTATTGACAGACGATCGTATACTGGATACGTCTTCATGTTAGTAGAGGGACCCATTCCGTGGGACTCCAGGAAACAAAAAACTGTGGCATTATCATCTACAGAGGCTGAATACATGGCATTAACAGAAGCAGCCAAGGAAGCCACTTTCATCCAGAAGTTCCTGCTGGAGTTAGGGTTCGCACAGTTGTCACAAATGGTGCTATTCAGTGACAACCAAGGCGCATTGAGACTGGCTCAATATCCGGTCTATCATGCGAGGAGTAAGCACATCGACCTTAGACATCACTACATCAGAGAAGTGGTGAAGAATGACTCATTAACTATACAACATGTCCCTTCGGAAGATATGATTGGTGACATCTTCACCAAGGGTCTAGCAAGTATAAAGCATGGTTCCTTCACGGAGCGGCTAGATCTAGCACAACCCCGGGTCGATGGGAAGTGTTAGATATTAGAAAAGGGCGACCCTGTAGGTTTGCCATGACCACAAACAAGAACACATGAATAATTGTAAAAAAAAGTAATGAGCTGTCGTTTTTTTGTATTCTGTATTTTTGCGTTGTATTTCCTAAAGTTCATTAAAGCTTCTACGAGCACGTACTTCTTTATTCGTAATATTTATTTTTTTGCATGTTTAGTAGTAGGCTATGGAATAAAATGTTACATGACAGTTGCTTTTTTTATACGGTAACATTAACGTTAGGGTGATATTGCCAAATAATATACCCTGTAAGAAAATAAAGGGCGGGTGGGTGGGGCTAGTAAATATGCTTCAGCAATCGGCATTATATTGAAATTTTATTACTAAATTGAAATTTTTAATGTGTAAGTCTTCCAGGGGGGGCAACCACAACTGCTAGGGGGGGCGCAGCCCCATCTTGCCCCCCCGTAGCTACGGGGCTGGACACACCTGTATCGCTTTCAATGCAAACTCACGATGAAAAATAATAGGATAACGTCCCTTGGACCACCACAAAACATACCATTATTACACTGATGCAAAGAACAAAAATATTGGGACTGAACGTATTTCCAAAAGTAATTAGGGCGCGAATTTACCTGGAAGGATGGCTTAACATTCAGTGGTTTCTCCAAACTATCATAAAACTCAAACCTTTCATAGTTATTTGAAGCTCAGGACGATATTTGCAATATGATTCATGAAATTTCGTCTTTCTAGATAAATGCCGATAGAATGGCAATATTTTTTTTTTTCAAATTAGCACAAAAATTGATGAAAATGCAAAATATGCACCCATTACGTGAAATATGCAGCAGAAGGCTAATATATGCAAATATGCAATTTTTTTATTGCTGTATTCATTTTTAATTAGCATGATTCGTTCACATATTAAATATCAAGACTTATATGCAAAAAATTACGGATATGCAAATTTCATAAAATCCGCTTTCTACTTATAACCTTTTTAAAAAATGTATCTCTTTACCGCCCTCCTAAAAACTAATGACATCATTTCAAAATTTTGCCAAATAAATCCTATCTAAAATGTACATAATAATATGATGAGTCTATGTCTGTTATTTATCATTCCATTTATATTTGTTAGAATTGTTTATACAGGGTGGCTAAAAATTGGAGAATACAATACTGTTATTATTAGTATTACACTGCACCTCTCCAAATTGATACGTGTCCTTGCCAAAATGTAGATGACGTTATCATGGATATTGATTTAAAATTAAATCTTTATGGATGCAATAGTACCCCAGAAACCAAGATCACCAATTATATATTTTATTGTACTTCAGGGGCAAAGGAAGTTCTGTGGAAATAACCTTCGAGCAATTTTTATACTATATATTCACTTGATATTACTGTTTTTTTCACTTGATTGATAGCACTGAATCGAGGGCCATCTTCTAAGTCTATTACTTATACAGAGTGACTAAAAAAAATGAATAAGAATACCTATCTATTTTATTGATAAAATCAAGAATCCCAATTTAAAGAAAATTTGAGTTTACCATGGAGGTAAAATGAGAGGAGGGACGATAGTTTGAAAACGTGACTGATACCGCGCTTTCGACTGGGGTCATAAATGGTTCTTCCAGCTTCTCCGAGAAACCGATTGTTTCAGTGGCTTGCTGGAAAGCCTTTACCGACTACTGGGCATAAAATCCAAAAATTAAAATTTATTAAGATAAATTATACATGAAAACAGTAGCAGTAAAATTTTGAAATATCTTTGCTTTCATGCCGTAATTAAACAAATAGTAAGACATTTTTACTCTCTTTGAACCTATGTTAAACCAAATGGTACCGTCTCTGATCCTCTGCTGAGAACCGACCACTCCCGATATAGTACGGAAAGGGTCATAAATGGCTCTTATGTTGAGTTGTTTTGCTGGCGTTTTTTCAACATTGGTCAAATAAGTCATGCTCCCTCTTGTCATCCTACCTCCATGGAATATCCAGTACTGTTTGTTATATACGTATCCTTGCTAAAATTTTCATCACAAAATTTTGCTACTGAAAAATTCATTTGAAATACACGCATATGCATAACATGCCACACATTTATCGAGTCCCTTGAACGACTAGTTACTTTCGCGTTTCTTCGACGTTTCACAACTCCTAGAGCAAGAGAAAGCAGTGTTCTGGTTTCCGTCTGTCTGTCTGCCGTTTGTCCGTATTTTTATTAGATAGCTAATCTCCGAAACTACTGGACCGATTATTGTCAAATTTTATGTGTGTTCGGAATATCATGCAGAAGGTAAAACGCTAACCAAAATTTGGCCAATCATCCCTAACAACAATAGGATGACGTCATCTTCAAGATTTACAATTGTAAATATTATTTACATTTTATAAAATAAGATACCTACTCTAGCACCTGTGGTTTATGACTTTGAAGTTGCAAAACCGAAACCTCTGAAATGTTGCAACCGTAAACATGATAAGTCGTTAATTAAAATTGTTTGTATAATTAAAGGTTTAAACCTAAAATAACCGATCGTCTTGGTTAAGTTTTTCACTCTCGTACGTTATAATGAGATTTTTTAATACGCTAATAATGCCACGCTTTGGATAAGAATTTTTGTAATGTCAAATAAATTGGATTTTTGTAAATAAAACACTGCCTGTAGAATATGTAATAATTTTTTTTTTTTCTAAAAATGTCATGTTTTTTGTATTTTAAATAACTGCTTTGGTTTATCTTTTATAGGTCACTTTAGGGACAAATAATGATAAATTAATTTAGTCTTTGTCCAAACTGTTCAGCAAACTAACAGATGTTTGTGTTAACCAGTCATTATATAAAACAGCTGAGAAAAACACAGTGTGTTAGTTTATGAAATGTTACAAATATCGTAGAGAAAACAACTAAAAACTCCTCGTACAATAACAATGGACAACGAAAATACATCACTCTGTATAGTGAACCAAGAGCTATAAGGTTATATGGCCATCATAAAATCATCCCATTGTGTCGAAGTTAAGTTGTTTACAATAGAAAAGGTTTTAGGGTCGTAAATAACGTGTCCACTGCAGCTCGACCGGCTCTTGTGGTTTCGTTCAGGGGCGGCTTTCACTAAATATGAAAATCCACCACTCCACTATTTCACTATAAATAGGTGAATACTACTCTTCCGTAGGTAGCGTGCGATTGTCCAAGGATCTGACGAGACTGAGACAGACAAAATTACGTCTCACAGAAGAATGCACTGGTCTCATCGATCTACAATTAGATCTAAAGATTTAGAAAATATTTAGTTTTTCTAGTTTAAGTTGAATAACGTTAATTCAAGTGAGGCATTACTCGAACTTTTTCTAAAGAAGTAGATTCCTCATGAAATAACCTTTTCGACCAAATAATTATTGGAAATATTGTGTACATGGTCCATTTCTTAACAACATTCAAAGTTTTAACAGTAAACTTGAGAAAACAGGTAAAAAGGGCCGTGTGATTGGTTAAATTTAATAGATTATATCTCAATAAATTTAGTAAGCTTGCAATTTTGGTCAAGCAATTTTGTTTCATACTGTTAAAATTTGGTGCACAGGTTCGGGGACACCTGTATATTTACATTATTCATATTTAAGAACAGGTGATAACTGAATTATGTAGTGCATTTGTGTGATTGTTCTATTAGGGTAAATACTCAAAAAATTGACGCATATAAAAATTCAAACAGTTGAAACTGATCTGTCTAATTCACTCGTACTACTTACTGCTATAGAAAAAATGATTTCATGATAAAATTAAAAGACTATTTCATTGTATGTGCCAATTATTTTGAATGGTATTGTTAAAGGTATATTGTTTTTAACTGCATTTTTTTTAAGTGTCGGACGATGTGTTTATAATTCAATGAACACCATGTTATGGATTTTCTGATAATAATTCACTGCATTAGTTTAAGTATTTAAACATGTTTGTACTGTATGTTAAAATTTTAGAATTATTAAATGCTTAATTAAAAATATTTTTTATTTATTTAAGTGATCACATGTGTATATGCATATAAAAGATAATATGGCACGAGGATACTGTTACACAGCCCAAACTTTAATTGAATCGACTTGTAAGGCTCTATTATCTGTTGTTAGTTTCCAACTTTTCATCCAATTGTCCTTTGCCATGTAAAAGTTTTTCACTTGTTTATTATCATTATTTTCCCAAGGTTTCACATTACTTCCTGATCGATAATTATCTGGAAAGTCATTAACACCACCCACACCGACCCCCAAAACAATTTGAACCTACAGAAACAATAACATACACAGAATGATGAGTGTAACGTAACATATTAACTTACCATGTCATTTTCTGCAAATCCAATGCTATCAACATCCTTCTTATCAACTTCTGCATAAACGTCTCCATCTACTTCAACTGCAATGCGATCTAGAATATTATTAAAAATAATACATATATAACCATTTTCACAAAACGTCATACCTTTCTCCCAGGTTACTATGTACCTGTGTATTTCACTTGTGAATGGTTTATCAGCACGTTTAGTTTTCAAGTATTGGCTTCTCTCTGGCTCTTGGTGATGTAAAACTGGTCCACTGAACAGTAAACTTCCTCCTATATCTTCATCGTTGTTTGCGAGTAGTTTGTCATTTCCCCTAGCATAAGCAATCCATAACTTTCTTCTTGGATTATTCACTTGTTCCAAATAAACCTCTACAAAAAAAGACAATTTTTAAAATTTTAGTTTTAATTAAAAATGATCGTGTTTTGTATCTTACCTGGATAAATCCAGTCTCCAGAAGGTAGTTTCGCTTTGATTTCAATTTTTCCATATTTAAATCTAAAACGAGAAACGATTCTTCCGGAAGTCACTGGAGGAACTATTAAATAAATATCTCTTTTGTGGAAACATTCGTCGTCTGTTTTCTTAGTGCAGCTGAGCAATAGAAAAAACATAATTAGTACAAACATATTATAAATCGGAACACTATCCCTGTTTTTCTATAAATACTAGATCGGTAACGCAATAATCTTTGCTTAATAATAATAATCCAGAAAATGAATTTTAAAATACTTATTAGGTTTTTTAAGTACATATCACTTTATGCGTTAACATTTCTAGTATTATACATTATATACGTCGAAAAAATAAAATTAATCGGTTCTAACCTGCCTCGAAGATCCAATTCTCCATTCACTTCATTATCGCTACTGGCAATTTTTGGTTTAATAAATAGTTTGTTGTCATTTATGAAACAAACTTCTGGCCTGTTTTGATAAGAAACAAATTCATAGTCCTAAAATCCACAATGTATTAATTAAAAGAATGACACAAAATTGGAAAAGTTATTTCTTTTACCAAGCTGTTATAAGTGGGTATGTACTGTTCTATAATCCACTTCTTATCATCTATTTTGGGTTTATTAAACTGTTCTTCAAAAACGAGATCATCTTTACAAATAAGCGTTTTGCCACTTACAGATGTTATACTATTTTTGCAGGGTTTATCTCCTATCTTCACCAGTTCTGTAAATAGGTAGTTAGGCTTATAATTGTATCTGCCATAACTCGATTATTAAAATTACCAGTGACCTTCCATTTCAGATTATCCTTTCTGTAGCCCAGCTTTTCGTATTGGACGAATATCCAGTAATTAACCTCATCGCCAATTTTTAACTGTAATTCAGAATTGTAGTAAGACCACAAATTTCCATCTGTTGGTTCTGTGAAATCTTTACTAAAATTGCCTGGCTCAACTTGACTGATGTCATTGTTAACGTTTGCGTGGAAAGCAAACATTTGAATTCCATTTATTGCTAAAGTAAAAAACGAACGATTAAAGCAAAGAGCGTTAAGTATTTGCTTAGGCACGAATATGGCTTTCGCCAGTTTCAAATTCTATTTTTTTTATATATTGTTTGAAGAATTTTGCACACAGTAGTGCAAAGTAGTAAACAAAAATTTAACTTCAATAAAATATTCAATAAACACTTGTCTGAAATGACGTGTGTACTATCAGAAAAATGTCTGTATATCTCAAAATCGTAATTTTTACTCTACAAATTTTCTGAAACAACTTAAAACGTTTTGAAGCTTCAGTTCAAAACAAATATTTGTCATTTTTGAGCTACCGCCATCAACTTATTATTCTTTTCTTTTTTTAAGCAAACTACTTGTCAATTGGCATTTTGAGATATTTATAGTCTTGCTATTTAGACATACACACATATCAAAAAAATAACATAATTTATACTGCAAAGCTACACAAGTTACCCCAGTTGTACAAGTCGACAAACAATCAACTTTAAAAATATCTGCTAAGCGTTTTTACTCTTCCCACAATAAGAATTAACTTTACTAAGGAGAAGAACTATAATTTATAGATCTTTTTAGGTTATTTCAGAATTGATCATCAATCATATATTAAATTCTAAGCAAAACGTTTAAATTTGTATTTACAACGATAAAGTACAAAGTGGTTGTATTCTATATGTGTAATTATAGGTATAAGTATGGTGCTTAGTTTACTACTTGTGCACATTTTTACAAATAATGCGTGGGTAATATGCTAGTATGAATCAAAATTAGTCGTAAACGAGCATATCCACACACAAACTTCACGACGAGTCTGTGTCTAAAAAATTAAGTAAAAAAGAAGATGTGCGGTTACTTACACCTAATCCTTCCCTTTCCCCAAAGGTTGTATACTTCAGAAGCAGAGAAAGTGGCGAGTAAATAACTTTGCAGATAGCCATTTGTATTAATTACTCTCTGGCATAATTTAACAAATATGATAAAAAAGAGTAAAAACTGCCTCTTATTATTTATAGGTATATTTCACCGTGATAACTATTTGCAATAAATTTATAACTCATAAAACCACCCATTTAGTTTTAAAATCACAATCAAAATTTTTGCCTCCATACTTGTGTGAAGTATAGTTTTTCCGCGGTGTTTAAAATATCATTACAAAGCATCAACATGTTGTTTTAAACCTATTTAAATGCTTAGCATTGACATAGATTTATACAAATTTATGTATTACAACCAATCTATTTTTTTTCTCACCGTTGAAACCGGATAAGCCACACCATTCATTATTGTTAGTAGACAACAAAAACATGTATTAATTTTGCCTTACCTGGAATGGATGCCCTAAATCCTTTTGGATCATATGCTTCTAATGTAACTTCCGGAATTACGAATTCTCCATTACAGTAAAATCTTGTTAACAATGTAAAAAACAATACTACTTCTTTAAGGGACATTTTGAAACTACCAGAATATTATCGCATGAAAACACATTGAGATAACCGTTATAATCTGGGATTCTCCATATTTTTAAATACGTTTGACCTTGCTATCAAACTGGTTTAATGGATCTTCTTAACAACGACTGTGCTATTAAAGTTTAGTAACTTAATAAAATTAGTTTACAATGTGCTGGTACATACTGATTAATCAAGTTTGGCTGAATAAAAACAACGTTACACCTATGAACAATACTATTATAGATAATCTTTCTTTACTACCGTTGTCTTGTTGAGGTCGCTGTGTTGCATAGAACTGCGTGCGTGTTGAACCAAAAGTTGATGACGCAGGTTAACATTAAGAATTCCCCAGTCCCCTTTTCCCGAATTCGAAGAAAATAACAATATGCGATAAGAAATGATATACGAAAACCCTAAGTTCATGAAACTTGGATTGGAAAATAGCAAGGTTGTTACCAAGATATTCATGAATACCAGATTATTAAGGCACTGGTTTATTGGAAAATTAAGTCACTGACAATAAAAGGCGAAAAAAGTCATTAAAAACAAAATTTATAAACATAATCTAAAATAATTTTTGTAAGCGGCAAAAACCTTCCAGAAAGAATCCAACCCATAAAGTGGAGACTTACAGGACTATAAATGAAATATTAAGAAATAAAAAGAAATATTTGCAACAATATTACCATATAACCATAGTTTTATATTTTTTTCTCTTGGCGTAACTGGCTCTCCACATTTCGGGAATGCTAGAGGGGTAAGATAGATATTAAAAGGAGTGAGCGGTTGAGATTATTTTCTGCGCTTTGGAAAGTTCGAAAAACGCAATAAAAATTATATGAGTTGCTTGCTAATATCCCCACTATATGTACGTTCCATCTCGAGTTGGCAATTTGTAAAACCCATAAGTAAATAATAAATGTACGAATTTTCTGAAGAATCCATAGTGATCCATACACAATTGCACAATTTCTTATGAAATCGTTACTATTCCATATCACGGTTTTCTTTGAATTTTAATATCTTTTACAATGATTCTGATTTTTCTGTTGTTGATTATTTTTCAGAATGTTCAAAATTTGGCTTAATTTTTTGTTAAATAAATGATTTACATCGAAGATAGACTTGACAAAATAATTTACCGTTTTCAAAAAATACAGTTTTTTGGCTGCAGAAATTGACTATTGCGAATCTCTTGGCCAGAAAGAAAACAGGTTTCAATAATAAATTTATCTTCTTCCACATTTTTTCGTCACATTCGTGATTTAAATAATAACAATAATTTTTACTTTATTGTCCAACAGGATTATTTTCCCAATTACAGGGCAACAATAATAATTGTACACTACAATAAATATGTAAACAAAATAACAATTTAACAAAATATATCTTCAAAATAATTATTCCCACAACTCATTGTGTAAATCGGTGCTCGACGTAAAATGTTGGTACGAGCTCTAGGGATCTTGAATGTTTGTAAAAATTTAGAAGATAGCCGTGAAACATTGAAACTTATATTATAAGATTTTGCAAGAAAACCGGCACAGTGAATATCTCTTCTAGAAGACAGTGACGACATTTGATGACGTTGAAGAAGAACTGACATATCCGTACCCCGTTCTGGGTACTTCCATCACATTTAAATGATAGAAACTTTAAGAATTTCTTCAGAATTCTATCTAGGACTATATGGTGCCTGATATGTATATTGGAACCAAATTAAAGATGCATATTCTAACTTGCTTAAAACAAAGGTATAAAACAAAATTTTGATCAGATTGACATTACGGAAATACTTGGATACGCTCATGAATCATGACAAAGCCTAAGGACTTGTTACCTGAGTTCGCTATGTGTTCAATGTGTGAGTTAAACGTTAAGCATTCATCAAATATTACACCAAGATCTTTGATTTACTTTTTCTTAGTAATAGAAAATTCATCAATTGAAACTCAGTGAGGGTGTTTTTGCCGGAAAATGATATGAAGAAACATTTTGTTTTATTAATTTTAAAAATATTATTATTACGAGGGTAGCGCCAAATATTCCCGGCCTGGCATAGATCCAGGTACAGTAGGCGGACAAAATCTTAGGAATATGTCAGTTCAAGTCTCATTAGGTCTGAAACATACAAAAATGCAGCTTACGCCAAATAGTTTTTTGGTAACACACATTTGTTCATCACGATGTCAGAAGTCACGAAAATTGAGTATAAAATTACTCACTCCAGGAGGTATCTCCTCTCAAAACATTAAAGATCGGTTGGACGAGGTGTATGGCCAAAAATCACCGACATATTCTGTGATGAAGGAGTGGTCAAAACGGTTTCGAATGGGTCAGAAATCGTTGGAAGATGATCTAGAACAGGAAGGCTCATGGAAGTGTTAACGGACAACAATATTGCTCTTGTTGAGGATCTCGTATTAGATGATCGACGCTTGAAGGTGAAAGAAATAGCACAAAAGTCGAGGCTCTCAGATACAACCGTTGGCCGAATCGTCCATGATCATTTAGGCATGAATAAAATTAATGCAATGTGAGTTCCTAAATATCTCCCAGCAATTCAGCGCCAGCGTCGTGTTGAATCTGCTCAGTCTTTTTTGGAGCTCTGTGGAGAAAATCCTGTGGACGCACCGAAGACAAATGTCACAGGGCATGAAACTATGGTTCTGTACTAAGAGCCTCTGTACAAAAGAGAGTCGATGGAATGGAGATGAAAAGGAGAAGCACCACCAAGAAAGTTCAGAGTCTGTCAGTCGACAAAAAAGGTGATGCCTACCATCTTTTGGGATTCTGAAGACATTCTTCTTACAGATTTTAAAGAACGCAACACCACAGTTAATGCGACATATTACGTAGCACTTGTGCGTAAATTACGCCAAAATATTCGAGACTCCAGGCGTGGAAAACTCACTAGAAAGATGGTGTGCTACACAACAATGCATCCGTGCATTCTGCTGCAATTACGCAAGACGCAATTCGTGATTGAACTTTTCAACAAATCGATCACCCTCCTTATAGCCAAGATTTGACCTCCAGTGACTATTACCTGTTTAAAAAATTGAAAAAAACCTTCGAGGATGCCATTTCGGAGACGACGAAGAGGTGAAGTCTGCAGTTTCGGCACATTTTGGGACCAAGCCGAAAGAATATTTTTTTAAATGTATTGAATTGTTGCTGAAACGATCTAATAAGTGCATTGATGTCAGGGAGGACTACATTGAAAAATAAAATTTAATTGTAAGTCTACGCCGTTTCTTTCATAGCCAGGCCGGGAATTTCTGGCGCTACCCTCGTACATCACTGCACGATTTTGTCAAGGTTGGCTTACAAATGTAGGGTATCGCTAATACAGGAAATTTTTGAGTATATTTTGAGGTCGTCAGCATAAGCAAGAACCGGACAACTGAGAGATAATAGCAAGTCATTTACGAATATGTCGAAAAGTAACGGTCCAAGATTAGAACCTTGCAGAACGCCGCTATTAGATCTAAATAAATAGGACCTAATGCCATTATAAGAAATATAATTGACGCGATTGTCGATATAAGAGCGCATTAACTGTAAAAGTGAAGTCGAGAAACCAAAGAAGTAAAATTCTGTGTGAGATGCAATCAAAGGCTTTAGAAAAATCAGTGTAAATGACATCAGTTTGACCTTGATTATCGATTTCTTGGGCTAGTTTCTGACTTAGCACAGATAAATTAGTAATAGTGGATCTGCCTTTCACGAAACCATGTTGGTACCTATGGCGATATGTAGGGTTTGCGATAAATTTGTTTGTATTGAGTATGGAGATAGATAATTCTGGCAATTTTTTAGCATTCTGGGTAACTAAGTATTTGTTTTTAAGGCCAAGCTAATTATTACGGAGAGTGGTAGAGCAAAAACAGATCTACAGTCTCGAAGAAGAAACTTGGGACTCAATTATCACCGGCTGTCAATTTATTAGGAAACTAATTGCCAAGTTTTTAAAACTTAATGACCCAGACAGTTATACAGGACACTGCTTTCGGAGATCCTCAACCATCTTGTTGGCTGATGCTGGAGGACACTTTCTAGATCTTAAAAGTCATAGTTGTAGGCGTTTCAGCAGTATTGCTGAGAGTTATGTGGAAAACTCTGTAACTCAGAAGATGGTTACCAACAGAAAAATTTTGACAAATTCAGACAATTATAACGTAACTTCGGCTCAAATGAGCTCAAACAAAAATAACTTGTCAGAGGCTTCCTCCAGTGGAGTGATGATGGGCCGCAGTAGAGATTTCCAATTGTCCAACGGGGCTCTATTTCAAAATTTAAATAACTGTACTTACTTTCAATTTACGTATTGATAAAAAAAATAATTTCAATTAAAATGAATAATATCGCTTAATTAAAAAAATTAACATTTCATTAAAACTTTTTTAATAGTTAAAATTTGATTTATTAATTTGAAATTTAGTGAATCAGCGAATGTTAGAGTAAATATTTCCATTTCTACATCCACTTCGGTTTCTATGGTTATAAAAAAATGTCTGAACTATGGGTAAAAATGACATAAGAGTGGGTAAAATTATACTTTACCATCACAAAAAATGACGGTAAAAGAGAAAAATGATTATAAGTAGATATAAAATAAAATCAGTTTATAAGGAATTCCCTCTTTTGGGACTCTTTCGAATATTAGCTTTACGAAATTAGCGGAAATAAAGATTAATTTTGTTAATTTTTTTATGGCATAGCTTTAGACGTAGCGTTCAAGATATCATTTCAGAGAAGATATACGGATTCAATTCTAAGGATGACTTGATTATAAATTATTGCTCGCCCGATATAATTAAGCATGAATACCAATCAGTGAAGATAATGCACCAAAAATAACATAACAACTGTGAAATTTAAATAACAAGTAATAAACCACAAAAACATTTACCACTTTATTAAATATAAATTTATTACTCAAATCTCTTTTGGAGGTTTACAAGATGTCTTCATTCTCCCAGTTTAGTTTAACCACTGTTTTCTAATAAAATTAAAATTTCAAATTTGTAAAATTAATAAAGTTGTTTACTCGGAATAAAGTATTGCGTCTCTTCTGCTGGTCCATCCCACAGTGAGCGTCGAGAGTGGTAACAGGATGACAAGTTAACAGATTAATTTCATGAAAATCATCTATAATCAAAATTTTACTGTCGAAGAATATGTGACTTCTTTGAAAATTTTTGACTCTCTAACTATATTTCACTACATTTAATAACAAATCATTCTTAAAAAAAGCATTCAATAAAATTTTATTTTCGACATAAATTATTAAAATGACTAGGTAAAACTCTTTATTATCCTACACCACTGCTAACAAGAACTACCTTGTATCGTAATAAATTTTGAAGTGTTATTGATAACATTTAAACTGATGAATCGTTTAATACATTTATATATGAAAATTATATAATGAAAAGAAAAAATCTGACAAATTTGTTGAGAGGAACATCTAGTATGTTAAGATAATTAACGTAAAAATGTATAGTATATACGTACTAAAGAAACTAAAAATAATTACAAGTATTTTGTAATGTGATACAACAACCTTATATAATCAAGTAGACGTATTTATTTTCTTAATAACAGTTTTACATCAATTTTGGAGCAGTTAAAACACACCGATCTTGCCAATCTAATACAATTTGATTTTTCCCTCCAAGCACCGCTGTCAACGCTAACAGTTAGATTCGGCGCTTATGGACGGTGTTATCATGAGGCGTCACGACGCTGAATATGCGCAAATTCCATACTTACTGTGTATGGCCACTGATCAATTTTAGCAGTTAAATTCATATTTACAACGACATAAAAATACATCTGAAATTTATAAAATTTGTGCCAGAAAACATGTTGGATCTAGAATATGATTACTTTCTGGAAGAAGATAAAATGTGAGTTTTTCTGTTGTGTCTAACCAGTATCGATTTTGTTTACCGTATCTTTGAATCGCTTTGGTTCACATTTAACCTAAATGAATAATTTCAACTTAATGTAAGCATTGTCACATTACTACGTAAAATATGATTTATGCTAAATGTCGTAATATAAAATTAATCTAATGATTAAAATCAATATTTCTGCATGTTTGAGCTTTGCATAACAAATGCCCTTTTTGCATGAATTACTATAATGTACCACGAAAATAATCAACATATGTAAAATTTAGGTAGGTAATAATTTGATGTGCGTACCAACAAACACCATGAAAGTTTAGCTCATAATCTTGAAGTTGATAAACACTTCCGGTTTTACTTGGTTCAGTATTGCAAAGTACCTATTCTTTATTGTAACAGTTTATTTAGGTTCGAAAACATGAACGTATACGGGTCAGATATTTACAAAAGAAATTATATAGAAGATAAAAAGTAAGTAAATTCAAGTATACTTTAAGCTAGAATTCTTTTTTCTTATTAAACTCTAAAAATTGCATTAAAATATCCATTTTTGTTCATTTATAGCAAGTTTAATAATGTAATTAGTTTCGTAACAACAGCAAACTATACAAGTTTGAAGTTTCTACTGTCAGTTAGTAATAGTGCAGTTTACGAAATTTTTAATGAGTGAAAATAATGTTAACGATACATCTATAACAGTTATTGTTATCATATACTCATGTTTAATAATATTTTCGGTGCGGGCATTTATTATGCCTATAATTTTGAAATACTTAGACAAACTAAAGAGGCAGAGAAGATGGAGGAGGCGATTTCGGAAAAAACTGATACAAAAGAAAGTCGTAAGAGCGCTGACATGGAAGTGTTACTGTTTGATATGACACCAAAGGAGAAAACTCAAAGAGAAAATACTTTGTAAGTATAATACAAATTATCGTATGTTAAGAATGCGTAACAAAAGGTACTGAGTGCAAAATAAGTACAAGTAGACCGTAATTTATAACTGCTAAAGTTTAATAAAAACATATATAGTATTTAGAATTAGAAGAAAAAATGCATAGATAAATTCATATACTCACTGTAATCCATCGTTAAAAACATGCTATGCGTAGATTTTTGAAGACACCAGTGAAGGTATATATAATGTAATTAAAAAAAATTAGGCTACTCAGAGATTTTTACTGATAATATTCTAACATATTTACGTTAGTAACTGCTAATTCCATTGTCGGTAAATTATGTTGCTTTAATTATTTTGCTAACACTAATTAGAAAAAAATATTTAATTTTATTTATTAGTGCATATTTTGCAGTGCAGTTCCTTAATTTTTTAGTTACACTTTGTATTACAATTTGTAAAGAAACGCAACATACTATACATGCCTTAACATTGCTTAATTTTTTACTTTTTGATGCAGTTTTGACATTTTGAACGCATTTTTATTAATAATGCTAATTTTTACTTTTTTCAGGAACACCGTGTGTCGCACGCTAGAAAACCCTCACACCGTTAGATGTAGATTAGAATGCCACGATAGTCACGTTACACTTGTAGGATTTTTAAAATAATATATATATTTTTGAGCACTAAACATTTCAATAATGATGTATCATTTTATAATATTTTTATAAAACAATGAAATAAAAAATGTAGAGCAATATAAAATAATTATTTAGTTGTTAATGTTTTAGTGAAAAACATAGGACTTTGCTTAAATTTAAATGTAAATTTGTTTCAGGGGCATGACTGTTACATCAGGGAGCGTTGCTATTAAAAAGGATGTTAATAATTTAATCGGCATTAGCATTGGAGGTGGAGCACCTTTATGTCCATGTTTATACATTGTTCAAATTTTTGATAACACGGCAGCCAGTCGTGATGGAACACTGCAATCTGGAGACGAGTTAGTTTCTGTCAATGGTCAGTCAGTTAAAGGAAAAACGAAAGTTGAAGTGGCCAAAATGATTCAAGCAGCAAAAGTAATGTTATAATTATTTTTCTGTTATAATAAGTTCAAACACAATCGCGATTGACAATCAGTCTATAATATTTTCTATACTGCTAACCGTTACTTTCACTTCTGTTGCAGGATGAAGTGGTTATAAATTACAATAAACTACACGCGGATCCTCGTCAGGGCAAGAGTTTGGATATTGTTCTGAAGAAAATGAAACATCGCCTAGTGGAGAATATGAGTTCGTCAACAGCTGATGCTTTAGGTCTTTCGAGAGCAATTCTATGTAACGATACTTTGGTTAAAAAGTTGCAAGAATTGCAGCATACAGAACTGATGTATAGAGGATTAGTTGATCACTGCAAACGAGTATTGCAAGTAACATTTCTACTATTTAAATTTTGCTTTGAAGCACCAGTTTGTGCCGTTTTAGGCACACGTAGAACTGCAACAAGCAATTAAAGCAATGGGTGATGTTTTCGCTTCTTTGGCTGTGAGAGAGCCACAACCTAGAGCAAGTGAAGCTTTTAGACTTTTTGGTGAACAACACAGAAGTATAGAAAAATTTGGACAAGATATGGTGAAAAAAGTCAAACCGGTTGGTTAAGTAATTTTAGATAGTAATATTTTCATAAACATATTTGTGTTAGGTGCTAGCAGATATGGGGACATATTTATACAAAGCTATTCCTGATACGCGATTGACTGTAAAGAAATATGCTGATGCAAAGTTTGAATACTTGGCTTATTGTCTAAAGGTTAAAGAAATGGATGACGAAGAATGCAGTTATGCAGCATTACAAGAACCTTTGTATAGAGTTGAGACCGGAAATTACGAATACAGGTAAACTATTTATGTTGACTTTCTGGTAACTTTCAACGCTTAATAACTTTGTCTTTCCGTTTATACTTGACAAATGTTTTTTGTAGTTTTTAAGTAACTCAGCTTTCTTTTCTGTACAGATTAATCTTACGATGTCGTCAGTTAGCCAGAGCCAGATTTGCGAAGCTCCGATCCGATGTTCTTGTTAAAATGGAGCTTCTAGATAATAAACATGTTCAGTCCCTCGGAGGTCATTTAACTAAACTTATCAAAGGTTTATCAGAAGTTCATACAAATGCGTTAGAACTGCTTTCCGGTCCCTCTCTTTTTCCGGTGGAAGTAGACCTCTCCAATAGTGCCTTTCAGTATAAATCTACAACACCCGTTGTTCAGGTATTAGTTACGTCCAATAACACCAATGGCATGAAAAATTTTTTAACTTTCAGCAAGACTTAGACGATGAAGATCAAGAGATAGAAAATGGTGAAGAAGTTCATGAAATTGAAGGAAACCTACTGAGTGACATTGTTGATTCAAGACTTGATAATATTTCCGAAAATGGACCTCTAATCGCCGGTCTTGAAGGAGAACAAACTGAGCCAAATTACGACGAAATGGACAATTTAACATTACTAGCTTCCTTAAATATAAATGGAACATCAAAAAACAGTGAAAATGGTCCTCTTCTTCCTGACTTAAATGAGTGAAAAGTACATAAGTGTTTATACTACATAATGTACCAATGTAATTTCATAAAAACTAATAAATTATTATCAGATAGGATGATTTGCGAGTTGAGAGATTTAAATATATCTTCAAGGTCATAACAATTACCAGCGACGAAATGAGTGCACTTGTACTGATGAATGGTGACACTCGCGAGATATTTTAATCTCATTAAAAAGCGGAAAGGTAGTTAATCGCGTTATTCATTCTTTTTTCCGGTTGTCAATGTGTTGATGCATATACCTGCAAGACTGTCTTTAGTAATACTGTTTAACTTTACACACGGAGCAAAGTAAATAATTGTTTATGATAATGTATATAGCAGAGTTCCTTTATAGTATGCTTAAATTGGCTTAAAATTTTAAATGGTTCAGATTATTTAGAGCTCTCATTGATATTGGTGTGTGGACAGTCATGCTGGTTGATGGCAATGAGGTCTGCCGTTAGTGTATTATATTTCATTATTCTACAAATTTTGTGGATATTCAGATCACTGTATGAAGCAATAATACCGGAAAAAAACAGGTAAGTGCATGTGTCATGAACACTTTTAACTATAGAACGACATAAACAACTATCTTACGTCTGAAAATCAGATGACACTATCTCTCCCAGACACTTTTTGTCTTACAATATAAGTAAGTAAATGTTAATATAAATATGGCACACTTTGTGCCCTGCACGTGATAATAATAAAATAGATATATCTAACAAGTAAAAATTTCCCTTTTTAATCAAAAATACACTTTCTTGCTATAAACACCTATGATGCAAAAAAGAAATAATATGTTTGTAATTTAACTTTGCTGTAAAACGGTATACTTAATTGTTATTAGTTTCGAAACAACGTTAAATGTTCATTTTAGTACATATATAGGGGGTATATACTGACGGAGCAATAAAAAACGCAATCAAAAATAGGCATGGATTTTTGAAAGTTTGTCTTTGATCATTCCATTTTCAAGTCAAACTTTCAAATTGATGCCAATCTGACAAGACCAAAATTCTATCACAGACAAATCTTCAAAAATCCATGGCTGTCGTGTTTTTGATTGCTCTTCCAGTATATGTAAGTATGTAATTTATTGACGTATATTATTACAAAAAAATAATTGAATGTTGTGGTAATTAAAACAACCGATTCTTGTATAGGTATAGTAGTCACCATAGGAATCTGGACCCCTTTGACAACAAAGTTTTAGTTGTTATTTTTTTTTTAAATACGAGTATCATAGTAGCAAATTGAATGTACGCTCCTGATTTGAAAAATAGGAGTGACTTTGTCAAATTTATTTGATTTGTCAAACAAAACATTAAATATAACATAATAAATAAAATAAATAACATCCAATTGTCATGTCTTTGATTAAACTGTAAAAATCATGCATAACTTTCAACAAACCTTTATTCAACCTTTAATTTATAATTAAATTTTAAATTCTATTAATTTTTTTAATTTTTAGGAAGTCAGTAATTAAATCGTATTATTTTAACCCACCTACAAAATTTTACCACTAAATTTGTCGCCTCTTTAATAGAAAACATATATTCTTATATTTGGAAGAAAACAAAACTACTAGAGAGACATAAATAAATAATGGAAACAATTTAGTAAGTGAACTTCTGACTCCCTCTCAAAATAATAAACTCTCAATTCAACTTCAAGCGAAATTCCTAACTTATCCTACTTTTTCAGGAAGGTCTGTCAAAACATAGATTATAGACAGGATGCAGATAAATTTTAATTTAATTAGTTCTCTTAATTTTCTCATCAACTAGTTCAATGGTCCGTAGTAATAATTTACCTATGTACAATGTACATGAAATTAAGGCATGAAAAACACTGTAACTTTTTAAAATTTGTAACATATCTCTAACAACATACTCCGTATACATCCGGTACCACACCAACAAAATTATGTAACATAAAAAAAATACTACTATAAACCCGGACAAAAAATCGATTATGTGTAAAACTTTAGTACAGATAAAGTCATTTACGTCAAAATTTTTAGGAAATTCTTATATTATAAGCTATATATATAAAGTTTAAAATGAATTTTTCAAATCAGGACGAAGTATATTTAAAACGATTTAATTTGACCTATCGCACTTGCTGTTCTTGAAAAAATAAGATAAGTATGGATCTGGGCTTTTTTTTTCGAACACACGGTACATTTTTATGATTCTGTCAAACTTGTGACAAGTGTGCTGATAATATTTTTATTTTGTCTTAATTAATAGAAAAATGTAATTTTATTGTAGACAAGTTAACTCGCAAGACTGTGTAAGTTACGTAAACGTATCCTTTTACCCTTATACTTTTATTTGCTACTTAGGTCCTATTTTCTTATAGTAAAATTGTAAAATCCTTTCAAAACTTTAAAATTATAACGATTTTTAACTTGTAATAAAAAGGCAGGTCATTCTCGAAAATTCATACAAAATAAAACTATAGAAATTATTCCAAATGTACGAGTAGAAAAGTAAAAGCTAAAACCATATGATTAAAATACTAGTTAAATCTTACTTCACAGCAAAGTTTTTTTGAGATATTTTTGAAAAAGTTGAACAAATATAATCTGTTTAATGTTCTGTAAACACTAAAATAAGGATATCAAAAATTTAGTGCCATCAAAAATTTTAAACAAGTTCAGTTTCTTATAGTAAAGGACTAGGTTATACAGGGTATTTTTGAAATAGATGGAAACTTTTTTTAAGGTAATTGGTCATGATGTAGAGAATTTATGCATCAAATATTGATCTAATAAAAATCCTTTAGTTTTCGAGATAAAATTGATTGAAAATCTGTTAAAATTTGCGTGTGCGCTACTGATTCCAAAAATGTTAAAGGTAAATTTGATCACTATAGTAATTTAAAGTAGGTAAAATTGTTGCTTGTTAACATGACAATACATTCATTAGCCCATCATTTTTTGACGTTTTTGCAATTTTTTGGAAGAACAAAATGAAATTTTTCTAATTCTGAAATGACTGACATGGTTCTGATGTATGGACAAGCCTTAAGAAACTCCTTGGAAGCTCGACGTTTATACCAAGAAGCATTTCCCGAACGAAGATTGCCAAATCATAAAACATTTGCTAACGTTGTTCAGCGTCTACGAGAAAATGGGAAATTTCAACCTCGTTTTAGTGATCGTGAAAGGACAGAACGGACACTTGATGCCGAAGAAGAAATTTTGAATGTCGTTGAAAACGATCCAGGTATAAGCATTAGACGATTGTTTTACCGAGTGGGAGTTTCACCTTTTGTGGTGTGGAGAACTCTACATGAACAAGGCAACAATCATTGATTAGACGTGCGGAAGCGTGTATACGAAATGGTGGTGGACATCTTGAAAACTTGCTCTAGTTGCATACGTTACGTTTTGTTTCATTTTATGGTTGATTAAATTATGATTTTGAAGTTTTAATTGTCAGTTCATTAATTATTGTCATTGTTTATTTGTTGCTAGCAATAAATTAATAGCAACAGTAGTTACACCTCGGCAGTTTTCAGTTACTAGGTTTCACATTTTTTCGTGAAACCATTATTTATCAGTGGAGGAATGAATGTTTGGATAGGGGTTAAATTTTCCTTTCAAAATTTTACTAAAACAACAAACGTTCATTTGACTTCTTAGGTTCCCTACATTCACCAGATTTTTTGTTTCCATGTATTTCAATAACACCCTGTATACTGCATGTTTCAAATGAGATTATACTATCAATACAATTTTGTAATGATGGCATCATTTTTTAGAACTGATGAATAAAACAAATTTAATTGATGTTCTGTAACCACTAAATTAATCTTAGTTTCTTGACAAAACTTCAAGAAATTAAAACCACCTTATTAAGTGGGTTTTAAAACATACTGTAAAATTTCATTTTATAAATTTTATTTTTTTATCAATAAACTGAATCCACAAAGTTTAAGAATATGCACATGTTATCATAGAGTAGACTGAGGAATATGCCACAACATAATTTAAAGTGAGATTTATTATGTAAAATTTTGAGATGACATTCTCACACTTCAAACAAATTTTGGTTTTCTTTTACTTTCTACATCACATTCTGAACATACACCTACAATTTCACAATAGCTGGTCTTGTCGTTTCGGAGATTATCTATCTGTCGAATAAAATCACTAACAGACAGTCGAAAAACGACAGACAAACGGAAATAGTGGATCGGTGTTCTCGGGTTATATAAGGCGTTAAATAAACGTTACAACATTTCTTTAACTTACACCTGGAAAGTAAAAATATATGAATTACATTGACATCTGACATTGATTTCTGAAAAGCAACTCATACCATATATATTGTCTTTGCCATTTCAATTGAAACACATATTGATTTTGCTTAAAATTTAGCAGTTGGTAACGGCTTTTAGTTAGAAAAGTTTCTTAAGATTGTTACGAGATAAACCCATACGCCATTCCTGTACGATGTCTGTGGGTTTTCTAGTATACACGGTGATGAGGGGTGGCGACTCATCATTTACTCGACTACAGAGAAGCTTGGAAGCGGAAGTCGCGAAATATCTAGAAAGGAGGGGTGGCTGTTTAATTAGGGACCACAGGCGGGAACAGCCAGTCGGAGTCCAGTCAATGGAGTCTAGTCAAATCCATTCCAGTCAAGTCGGAATTATTCTATACATAATCGCTCGTACCGTTTTGTATTACTATGAAATCAATGGTTGACTTTTACCCACGCGGATTTTAATTACCGAAAAATGTAACAATATGCTCGTTACCAAATTTGTGATCAACAAGTGTTTCAATAGAAATGATAAAGAATATACGTGGCAAGTGTACTTTAAAATAAATATTAATTTAATATTTTATTGTTTATATAATAGATTTTTAAATCTACGTAATGTTCAATGTAACACTAATAAATAATTGTACTGTGTTCTCAGAATTTTAGATAAACTAGACATCTCTAATTAATAAAATATATACCATATGTAGGTTTGAGCTTATTTTTGTTTAACTTCTAAAAATCAATATCTCATTCATTTCTAGCAACTTCGGAACATGGTTTTCGGCACTATTTTTACTTTACAGAACTCTAGACATTACCTAGGAAACATTATTTAACTTTCTTGTCGGAATGAGATACAGTAAAAACAATTTTTTTCGACAAAACCTAATATTTTATATATTTTACGTACGACTTATTTGGCGAACTTTTGAGATGATGTCATGAATTTTTTGGAAGATAAACGGATAAACTTCGTTTAACGATTTTTTTTACTAATGCTTGCAATAACCTTCAAACTGGATGTCTAGGAAAAAAAGTAAAGCGGATTCATGAACAATACATATAGGACTCTGTTATTTTATAAAATTTAAATAATATTTGCTATGAACAATTTTGAGGTGACGTCATAACTTTGTTGGTGAGGCTGATTAGACACATTTTGGTTAGCGTTTTACCATCTACACGATTTTCTTAAAATACGTATAAAATTTGATCGGTGCTTTAATTTCGGAGATTATCTTCTAATAAAAATCGGTACAGACGACAGACGATCTTAGTTTACGCTCGGGAAGTAAAACGGGTTTTCTCAAGAGGGACTTATCTAATTTCCTTAAATGCCATATGCGTTGCAACTTAAAATTAGAATGTTTCTCTTAACTATGAGCTTGTTCCAAAAACTTATTTAACAAAATTTAACATTAACAGATTTTCCGAAATATATATATATTTAATACTCACTGCCATTTTTACTTCCAGAGCCCAAGCTGGGGTCTGTGGTTTATCGTCTAACTGCCATCTGTCTGTCAACTGTTGCGTTAAAAATATACTGAACTGATTGTTGTCAAATTTTAGATATATTTTAAGAATATCGTATACAACGACAAAAAATTTTATGAATAATCCCCAAATTTTTCTAACTAAATTCTATTTAAAATGTGTAAAATAATACTGAAAAAACAATAAAAACACTATTAAAGGCGGCCCCGGATTTTTGAAGATTTCTTTTTAATAAAATTTTCGTCGTGTCGTAATCTAACCACTAATTTAATAGTCTGATTGAAAATGTAACGATCAAAGACAAACTTTCAAAAATCCATGGCTGTCTGGGTATGTTTCTATACCAGTAATTTATTCATATTTATTTTGATATATGTAAGTTTTTGAAAAAAAAAAATCAAAATTTAACAACACAATTTTACAATCTTACTTCCTGTTGTACAAAATAAATTGCTCCGAAATTTTTCATCCGCCGTAGTAAGGTTACCGTGGACATGGTCTTCCCAAAATTTTATTAAGCAATTCCTGCTTGACAGAATAGTGTATCCATATTTTTAATGATATGTAGACAGGTCATTCTGCGAAGGAAATTTTACAGTGTCTATTAACGTTACAGGTTACAGTGTACATTAATTTGACGATTGAAGGACATGATTAAAAATTTTTACTCCAAATAAATATCATTTGTTCTGAAAATAAATATTTTTTGCAATAATGAAACAAATACCATATAAACAACAAGACATTTCTTAGAAATATTTGAGTTTCAAAAAGTGCATACTAAGTTACGGTATAATGTACCAACTCAAAGGGTAGTACATATTAAAATGTTTTTGTTGATGCTACGTTTTTTAAAAATAAGGAAATATAACTTTAAATGCCTATGGTACCGGAAATACTTGCTGTAACGTAATGCGTTTCCGTTCAAAAGATTGCATAACAACTCTCAGACACTAACTTTCTATTATTAGATTTTGTAAGAACATTTCAATATTGGGTGAAGATAAAAATCTGTTTAGATTCAAATTCTTATTTATTTTGTTTATGCTTGTCATTTTCAATGTCAATATAAGTTATCGATCTATTCCGTCGAAAATAGTAAATAAATTAGTTCAGCAATTTCCGGAATAATTTTTCATATATACATATAATATATGTATCACAAACAAGGCAAAATCTATTTTTTTTTTTTTTTCTTATAGAGAGAAGATTAATCCCCAAGACGCAAATCAACCTCAAAGGGACGAAAATACTCTTTATTCTTCATCGGAAAAGGAAAGACGACACTTGATTCATTTATTTACAACGAAGCCAAATCAAGACAATGGAAGACCAGTTTGTTACATGCACGTATGCGAAATATTAACTCCTCACGAAGAAGAAATGCTGAGATGTGTTTGCGCGAAGGGTGCCACCGATACTACTACGTATTTCAACTACGATAATAATGACCACATGCCACCCACTGGACGAATTTCCAGAGCGACTTTCACGAATGCCTGGATGGAATCATTTTCGTTAGTCATATAAGTTAAAAAATGAAAACTGGGAAATATCAAGCTACCTAATTATAACAATATTAAACTGACGACTTTTCATTCCACGTTTGATACGTACTTAACATTTTATCATGCTGGTCACGACCCACGAAGACTATCTATCTAGTTTCTTGATTAATCTTGTGTATGCGCAAGCGTCAAATAAATATGTACTAATATAGCAGCATTTTGCCGTATAAACAGTTATGTGAATCGAATAATGTTTTAATTTATTTATAGACATTCTGTGATTTTTACAAGATGAGTCGAACAAATTTTAAGTACTTGGTATTAAGCTCGGTGTTTAATATTTTATGTGCACAGAATATAAAAGATGGAAATTTCACGCCTATTGTAATGTGGCATGGAATGGGTAAGATTAAGATTTATTTCAAAGGTTATGTTTTTGTCGACAGTGGCGGTGCATATGTTTGGTGTATTTAATTATGTTTCGAAAAATAAAGTAGAAATATTATTAGTGTTTGCAATCATTAATTTATTACTTACACGTTGTTGCATATTGTTGACTGTACACGAATTTTTTCTAAAAAGATCTGGTTTAATTGTTTTTTTTTTTTGAAGCAGGGACTACAAATTTTTTATATACTAAAAGAAATTTTGTATAAACATTTCAAAACTAAAATAAATTGTTAATTGTTGTACGGTTTTTATAGTAATTGTTTTTTCTAGTTTTTTTTTTGACTAAACTAACAAAAAACAATTTTAAAAAATATGTGTTCAGCATTTTCCGGTTGATGTTTTTGACGCTTCATAATCGTTGAATTGCCGCCTTCAACTTAATATGTCCCAATATTTTAAGAGAAACAAATGACAAACAGATAGTGTTAATATTTGAGGCGTTCTAAGTTAAAAATTATTTGATAAAAGGTATTTCGTTGTTTAATAAAAGGAAAAGAAGTCGCCATGTATGAATTTTATGTTATTCGGAAAATTGTGTTAATATTCGTATCAAATAACTGTAAATAAGTTATTAATAAAAATAAAATATAAAACGTATTTTGGATGTATCTGAACTAATGATTTATTAATTATTATAATGTTTGTTGTTGGCCGCCCTCATTATTGTCTACTTAATCAAACGTTCGGACTGGAAAATTATTCATCAAAAAAATGTTCCTTTTTCTTTTCTTCAGTAACCGCTTTCGGTCTCTTTGGTCATCTTCAGTTTAAAGTTTAATAAAACAACAAAGAATTTATAACAATTATTAAATCAAACTAGATTTAAGTCTGCGTATGTTAATAATTCAGTGCATCTTTTTTAAAAGTGGTCATAGGGGTTCCCATGTTAAATTTTATACCCCATGTTAACTTATGTTTGAGTAAAGATTCAGAGTTGAAATTTTTACTGGGTGTAATTTGGGCCATCTTTTGTCGATTTTATTTTTAAAGGTTATGCTTTAAATTAAAGGATATTTCTTAAAAAACAGACATTTACCTGACGTTTATAAAATTTGATAACTGGTTCGATTACTGGTTTTTATTGACCGAAATTGGTCAAAATGCCGTAGTACACTATTAAAGAAAGAGTGGAAATGGTCACTGATGGATACATTAAAGGCTTATCGACAAGGGAAAAATTGTGCAAAATTTTGCTTCAGCCACTCTCACATCGTCCCATAACTAGCAAGAGCACAATTGAAAAATTTTATTCTATTTTAGAATCATAATCTTGTTTATAAGCACCGAAATGCGGGCATAAATTGGCCTTTATGGCACAAATGAGTCAAAAATTTCCAAGCAACGATTGATTATTCATTTACATTAATAAATTATTCAAACAAGCTTCGATATTCGACATTTTTCTTAAAATTGGGAAAATAATATTTCATCAAATCATTCCTTGGCGGACTTCAAATTCTTCTAAAATTTCTTATGAAAAAACGTTTTCCGCTTCTTCAGTTTACATTTTGAAAATCGACTTATTTAACAAATAAACAACTTGGTATCCATAACAATATTAAATAATAGCCAGTTATGTATTAAAGTTCGCATTGGCACAATTCACGTAAACCACGGGCATAATTGTCGATTGTGGCCCTCGAGAAATTAAAAGCCTTCCTTCCTCGGGCTTTAAACATTCCCTGGTGCCATAACCTACCTAATAAATATGCCCTTAATAAATATATAACTATTATGGCAGTTTGATAAACACATGTTTTCTCGATCGTGGACGTCAAAAACGCAATTTCACTGAAATTATCTTTCATTTATGTTAGAATTCCGTCATTTTGTTTCTTTTCTAAAAACTGCAATAAAAGTATTTAATGATTAAATTAAAATTATACTGTCAAAAATGACAAGTTAAAATGATAAGACAAAACCTTCCATGATGTACAAAATTTTTTTAATGAAATAATTTTAATTTTTACTTCCTGAGCATAAGCTAAGGAAGTATAGTAATCGAGTTCATCGGACGAATGGCCACTTTTATGTTTTCTCAACGTTTCATGACCCCTACAATGAGGAAAAAAAGTAGTCTCCCGTTTCCGTCTGTCTGTTTGTCTGGTGTCTGTATCCATTTTTATTAGACACGTACCCTCCGAAACTGCTGGAACGATTGTTGTCAAATTTCGTATGTATATTAGAAATGTCATGTAGATAGTTAAATGCTAACCAAAATTTGGCTAATCCTCACCACCAAAAATTTGATGACGGCATTTCAATGAATTGTGTTTTAAAATGATTTGAATATTACACAAAAGTACACTCCTATACTTGTATTGTACGAATCCGCTTTCAGTTTTTTCGCTAAAGTTTCAAATTTTCGCAAAAATATTCGCAAGGTATAATAACGTGAATTATCCATGTTGATGACGTCATCACAAATTTTTTATTAGTCAAAATAAGCACGAATCACACCATTTTTTTGAAAATGTGAAGAATACGCACGTCTTTATATAATAATGATAAAATAAGAATTATGATATTCAGAACATTTTGAGAACAGAACATTGAGTTTCAGATTGGTATTACCTACTGCTGAAGGACATTTTATATCCTATTATTTTATAGCCTTCGACCAATTTTTTATTGATCAAATTAACAGCCTCATTTCCTAGAAAATGTGAGAATACCCACGTCTTTATTTAGTTATGATGATTGTGTTTTGAGGAAACAACTCACTCATATTAAACAAATTTCTACGTGACATTCTTTCGATGTATAAACATAAACGATCGAAGTTAAGCATGTACACTGATAATAATACACTCTTTTCCGTTGGTTATTTGCTTTGAATATATTTCATATTGTCTGTATATTTGCGGACGGCACCTCCTTGGAATTTGCACCCCAGCGGCGCAGGAGATGCGAGGTACTGGGCTTTCATAGTGTTTAATATACAAAAGGTTATCAGAAAACACTTCTTTTTTATAATTTCTTTTTTAATAATAATAACAATAATAAATTTATTGCCCAACAGTTCAGGCGAACCAATTACAGAGAAATGAATAAATATAACCTAATAACCTAATATTATCGTAGAGAGTGACAAAAAAACAGAAAACCGAAACTATAAACTACACTTTCCATGAAGGTTAAATAAAAGTATGTGTACTTATATATAAATTGTAAACAAAACAAAAGAAATAACAAACCAACTTAAAATAATAATAATAAGAACAGTATTTGACACAACAACAACTAATAGGTGTAATAATTTAATTTTTCAAAGAAGCGGAATTTGTTGGCTTGTACTTCAAGGGCGAGTGAAGTTCTGTCGAAGTAACCTTGGACCAATTTTTTAAAGCATAAATTATTAATTTGCTTCAAAAAGTAGTCGTGAAAATTAAAGGAGAACCCTAAGCATATTTTCACCGCAAAAATCTTCTTTGGGTTTCCACCCTAACAAAAGTTAACATGGGGTCTAAAATTTAACATGGGAATCCCTATGGCGACTTAAAAAAGATGCACTGTATATTATTTGGGAACCCAAAACCTTTTTTCATTTGACGATTCTTAATGGTAAGTAAAAAATATATTTTATTCTATTTTAGAACCATAATCTTATTTATAAGCACCCAAATGCGGGCTTAAATTGGCCTTTTTAGCACAAATCTGTCAAAAATTGCTAAGCAACAATTGATTGTTCATTTACACTAATCAATTAATTATTCAAACACGCTTCGATATTCAACGTTTTTCTTAAGTTGGAAAAATGATATTTTATCAAATCATTACCTGACCGACTTCAAATTCTTCTAAACTTTCGTTTGAATGAACGTTTTCCGCTTCTTTAATTTACATTTTGAAAAACGAATTATCAAATAATCAACGTGGTATCCATAACAACATCAAAATAATAGCCAGCTATGTATTAAAATTTGCATCGGCACAATTCACACAGTCTTGCCGAAAATACTCAATATTTCGTTAAAAATAGGTTAAAAACTAAAATAGAATAAAACGTTGTATGTACCACGTGCATAATTGTCGATTGTGCCACTCGGGAAATTAAAAGCCCTCCTTCGTCGGGCTTTAAACATTCCCTCGTGCCACAATCTCCCTGATTATGCCCTTAATACATAAATAACTATTTAAGCGTCGATTACAAATCTACTAGTCTATTTCTTTGGACTGACTTGCTACTTTTTGTACTCAGATGTCGAAAACTTACTATTAGCGTCCTCGGCTTTGTGTTATGGAGCAACAAAGTCAAAAACGCCGTTATTTGAACTCGACGTTTACTGAATATCGTGATCATGACGGTACAATTTTTTTTTTAGTTTAGGGCTTTGGTTTTTATGATTTTTATCAATTCTGTAGGGCTTTCCCTCCCATAATGAAAAAAGACTTTCTAACCTCAAAAGCACTTACGTAACCGATTATTTTTCTGTATGGTCGCCTAAAAACGTTGTACCTCGGTCAAAGAGAACTTTTTCGGTCTACTTTTTGCAAGCCTCAGCTACGCCTCGTCCTTAAACTTTTTCTTTATAACCTTGATACACAAATAGTTAATAATTAATAAAGTTTCGTTTATTAAGAGGCGTTCCCACGTTTGGTGCATGGGATTTTCAACACATTTTCAGAATGTAATGTCCCCATTATTAACCGATTTTATATTATGAAATTTTAAGTATAACCTACACACAACTTGCGCTGTATAACGCGAGAGCAGTTTTTGTTTTATACCAGTATCTTCTTTTGGGCATTTTGGTGAAATTTTTCATCACGTATATACATATTTACAAATCAATACTTAGTTATTCATTTCACCACTGTTTTCAGCTTACAGAACTCTAGACACTACCAAACATTGTCGACTGTTTTTGTCACAATTGAGATACAATAAAAGTAATTTTTTTCGACAAAAACAGATTTTACTGCATCTTATTTCCGACAAAAAAGTCAATGTTTCGTGGATAGTGTCTAGAGTTCTGTAAGCAGAAAACGGTGTCGAAAACCGTTAGAAGATATTATTAAACTTGTAAGGAAATATTAAAGCTGTCACATAGTTCATTGTTCTTGAAAAAAAAAGTATATAATTATGTTCAAAGAATATTTTTTATGTTTTTATCATGTATGTGATATCCTTAATCCTGATTTGCATAAATAAAACCATCATCCCGACGTTTAATATTATTGTGTAAAACTGTTTAAGAGATCCGTGAGATTTATTACCAATTCTTTACGTAGGTATTAATCCAGTTATTTTTATATATTATACAAAATATATTTTTTGTACATTATACAGATGTGTATAATTAAAATATAATCCTCGAAAGTTATTATTCTTCATTGATTTAGTAAATAATTATGTTGATTTATTTGACAAGATAACTAATAAAAATACGAATGAACATTACATTTGTTTTTATTGTCCACAAAATTGAGTTACACTCCTTGTAGTTAAAATAGTAATAGTATTTGTTATATAGAACTTCTTTCAAATATCAATTAGGTTTGTCCAAACTTCAACGTGATGAAATTCCTTATAGTATGGTAATTTTTAGGTGATAGTTGTTGCTTCTCATTCAGTTTAGGAGCCGTTAAAGAAAAACTAGAGGAAGCTTTACCTGGTATTCATGTCGTCTCCTTACGCATTGGCGATTCAGAGGTTACCGACGTGGAGAATGGATACTTCCTTCATCCAGACAAGCAAATAAAGATGGCTTGCGATTTGGTAAATTCTGATCCACTACTCGCTGATGGATTTAACGCTCTGGGTTTCTCACAAGGCGCACAATTTTTGTATTATACTGTTGTTACTGGTTTTCACCGTGGTCTCATTTCATTTATTGTAGGCGAGCTTTAGTGCAAAGATGTAAAACGGTAAAAATAAAAAACCTAATTTCACTCGGAGGGCAACATCAGGGTGTCTACGGGTTACCTAATTGCGGTTCATTATCGAACAGCATCTGTGATTATATTAGAAGACTGCTTAATCATGCTGCATATTTTGGGTTGCAAACGTAAGATAATTTTTACCATTAACAATATAATGTATTTGTTTTAGATGGGTTCAGAAAGCTCTAGTCCAAGCTACGTACTGGCATGATCCTCTTCACGAACAAGACTACAAAAATCATAGTACTTTTTTGTCTGATATCAATAACGAATTAACAATAAATCAATTGTATATAGAAAGACTACAAACATTAGACAATTTGGTGTTGGTTAAATTTGAAAATGACACTGTTGTACAACCCGCAGAAACGGAGTGGTTTGGTTTTTATAAGCCTGGACAATCTAACAAAATTGAAACTTTGCAAGAATCTAGACTTTACACAGAAGTAAGTGAATTTTATATTTTGTTTTCTAGTATGATGTGTTATGGCATTCCCTTAAATTGACATTGCCAAGTTGACAACAGACTGAGGTCCAACCATAAATTGGTAATTGGTTGTTATTAGTATCCAAGTTTATATACGTGTCGCAAAAATGTTGATGACATCATCCCAAAATTTAGTAAATTCCTTTGAAACATATACGTAACAGGCTTCCTTATGTTTATTTCAATTTATAGGGGTTCTCATAAAAAAATAAAATTCAGAACAACAAATTTTATAGTTTTTCGAAAATGCTGGAAATGTTTCATTATACGTCGGATGTGAGGGAAGTTCTGTGGAAACAACCTTGGACCAATTTTTTCATTAGCATTAATAAATTATTATAAATCAATTCAGTTTTGTTATCAAAGTGCTCTGATAAAAACTATTGAAATTGTTCTCGGGAAATTTCCCATATATTCTCAGAAATAACCGTTTTGCAAACTGACAGAACTTTTGCAACTATTTTAAGACACTTATGACTCGTAATAAATAGCTACTGCATCCTTTACTCCATACTTTCGATACCAACTATTTTAATAAAATCTGCTGCATAATTCCCTACGCTTTTAGTAAATATGTACTGCTAACAACATTGCAATATAATTATAAATATTCTAATAAAGTCTCCTAAAATTATAAGATTTTTTTGATAAATTCGGGACTTTTAATACTAGCTAAGATTTATAAATTATAAAGGACCATTATCAACCAAATTTGAAGTACCTTATAAACAATTGTCATTTGATTATATCTGAAATTTGATTCAAACTGTGACAGTAAAATTGGTTTAAAATTATTCAGACAGAATTTCTGTCGGCCCTAAAACATAATCAATCCCATCAGTTTCTTAGAAAAATGTCACTACAGTTCATTTGCCTTTATATTATCGAAACAGAACTGACCGTAGTGTATAAAAGACATTAACTAATTAAAATTATCATTTATTGCAATTTGTTTTGTGACCTCAGCAATACTCCAGCACAACATTAGATATAGTTCTGCTAATTGTATATATTAAGCAGAATTATCATCTTGGATTTTTTATTTTGATGTATTTTTTGTCATAACGTTATCTGTTTACTATAAATATTATCAATTTGCATTAATTTAAATTTTTTATTTCATTTATTCCGTCTATTTTGATAAATTATGGTATATGTATTGAAATATTTCGATTCTTAGATTATGTCATCAATGCATTTTTCTACTATCACCTACTTCTTTATTTGGGGTGTTTGGCAAGTTACTACTATTAAACATCCTACTCTCTTATGTGCATGATTTATTTTTGCGTTTTCGCTCTCTCACTTTTTATATTCTTTCTGCCTTTGTTCCTCATCTCTTTATTTTACCTTTGTTTTCTCTCAATGGATCTAATGATCTAATTTATCAAATATACATACACTTGCAGTTATTTGGAATCTTGTTCAAAAATTTAATCCCCACTTCATATGCTACTTACTTCCTGACTTTTCCCTTCTCTATCTAAACTCCTAGAATCAAAATATGTTACTACTACTTTATAATTTGTCGTTTCAGGATCGCCTAGGTCTTCAGAAACTAGATAAAAACTCAAAACTCCAGTTCTTAGCCGTTCCCGGAAACCACTTACAGTTCGATTGGCCATGGTTTAAAGAAAATATAATAAGTCCGTACCTGAAAAATTAATGTATTATTATTTTATATTATTAATCAATAGTCATATAATGTACAATGCAAAATCTCTGTTTGTATATAAATTGTAGAATATTATTTTGATTGAAAAAATAATTACTGTTATTGTAGAAATGTAGTATTATTATCATCCACAAGTCCTTTATGCAATACGAGTTTTTCTCTTATTCTAATTTTGTGAATGGAATTTTTTACAAGGCCTTTGTTCCGTACAACGTTTGAGAAAATTAAATTCTTTGAAGGAACGGTTTGATGTTTTATAAGGAAATATTATTTTAAAGAATCAAAAGAACCATTACAAATTTATCTTCAGCCTACTAAAGATCAATATAAATCTCTACGAAAATAAAGCATAATTTAATTTACTACGGACAATAGCAACACAAGCCATATTCTTAAATTGGGTAGGTACGTTCTTCTATTGTTTAAAGTCGTCAAAATATAACAAAGGCTTTTTTCACGAAGCTATATTATAAACTAGTCTGATTAAGGCAAGCAAAACGCGCCCTTATTTGAGCAGGACCTAAACAGTATTATGTAAAATTCCTTGTTCTCTCATTCAGGCAGAATGCATTAGCCAAACAGCCAGTGTATAATATAACTAATGGACGACAACACTGATTGAAAAATTTCACAAAACACAAAACGCTTCTAAAAGAGAGGATATGATTGAATGAGAATAAAGCCCCTCCCCATCTGCGAACGCTCCAGGATAAAATTATTTTTATTTCCATCCACCACGTTTCTACGTGCACGCTGTACGTTAAGTTTTTGTTTCGTTCCAAAACTTAAAATTTCAGAATCAGACTAAATTAATAAACCGTCTTAAGATTTAAGTTTTGCGTTACGTTACAGTCTCTATATAAACAACCGTCTTATCCAAAGCCGCAAAGTGGGAGATGAGTTACATAGGTACAATAAATAAATACACATTACAATAAATATGAGGGGTAAATAAGTCAAATGTAAGCTGAATGTCATAATCAAAGTACAAAACTTAATATATGGTAATTAATTTAATTTTTAACAAGTGTACTAGTTTTTTGCGGACATTTCAATTGCCTTGTTAGAAAACACATGTGTCAGTCTGAGGTGTTAATCTTCGTCGTTTTGAATTCGTTTATTTTAAAAAAAATTATTATAAAATTAATGTCGCTTTTATTATTATTATTATATATTATTATTAGAAATAACTCAACATGCTAAGCCCAATTAATGATTTAATAAAGTAGTGTAATATAAACAATTAAACATAGATAATGCACTCACACACTCACATACTCAAACATATCTATATTCAGTAGATAGCAGTCCCTTGATGTCGGATAATTTGCATGCAAAAATGTCAAGTTTTTCCGCAATATTTACATAATTGTGGATTGGTTGATAAAGCGGTGACATTTTGATAATGTTTGAATTTGAAATAGGAACTGCGAAACAGCTTTTATACTTCTTGCATTACAGCGGGACACTCGAAAGGATATAGGAGAGCTGTATATTTTAGAAATCGCCTTTGAATCTTCTCCAGTCTACTAATATGGATATCATAAATAGGATTCCAAATCACCGAGGCATATTCCAGTTGCGACCTTATGAAAGAATAGTGGAGCATCTTTAATGCGTCCAGATCGTCCATACCTTTACTGTTTCGAATAAGAAATCCTAAGGATTTATATGCAGATGAAACTAAGTATGTTATCAATATGTGTGACGAAAGTTAACTTTGCGACAAAGATTACGCCGAAATCACGCATAGTTTCTGGTCTCTCTAGGATATTATTGGAGATATTATATTGAAAGTCTATAGTCTTAAGTTTCCTTGTGTATGACATGGCAAAACACTTACGGTAGTTGAGCTTGAAATTATTACTCAAAGACCATTTGATAATTTTTTGGAGGTTGATTTGTAGTTCTATACAGTCTTTAATTTCCAAGAATATCTAGGTATAAGTTGTTGGCGTACATTAAATACTTACGTGTTAGATTATTTGTGATGTCGTTAATAAATAAGTTAAAGACGAGTGGTCCCAACACTGAACCCTGAAGAACCCCATATAATTGAACAAATGATCTTGAATGACACCCAAAAATAGATACGAACTGCTAACGATTTTCTAAATAATATGTATTTAGTTTTATAAGGGAATATATAAATCCAAAATTGGACAGTTTTTCAATAGGAAGACTAAGAGTAATTTTTTCTATTTTTTGAAATGTTTAATGGAATTTTGGAAGACGACCAACAAATAACCTTAAATATCCAAACTATTCAATCAAATCAACTAAAAATAATAACCAGAAGAGCCATCTTTAAATTTTCTCTCCAACATCTTAAACAGCTGAAACTGTGGTTTCAGTATAACAGTTAACAATAAAACAGATAAGCTACTAAATCAGAGATTAATATTCTAAAAGAAATAATTATGTCCTTGTGCTGAAGAAGTAGAAAATGAAGAAGATGATACTCTGGATTCTTCTAATTTAGACAGTGAAGTTGAACAAGCTGTGAATAGTATCCAGACTAACAATAATGACATTAAAACAAACCCACAAGAAGACTGTAACTCATAACTTAGGGAAAACGACCTCGATTACAATATTAAGAAGTCGAATTTATTTTCAGATAGTTCGGGCTGTAATCTTCTAATACCTAAGAAAGTGAATAACCATGAAACTGAAACATTCGAGCGAATTTCAAAGAAACCTATATACCTTAAATGGATTTTTTTGAAGACGTAGGAATGTGCTTTGATATTGAAAAATGTAAAACTCAAGCAATCGCAACCTTCTCGAGGGCGCCAAATGTCTTTTTTTAATGTAAAACCTTCTCGGCGATCCAGGAGCTCAAAATAAAATTTTTAAGAATGTGAAACTTAATGTTGTGCAAAGCAGTCTACACATATTAAAACAAAAAAAAAAGGCAAAATGTAAGCCCGCCCACCCGCCCTATCTCAATTGTAATGATTTTTTTTATTCGCCGTAAGCCAAGGGGGCGGAGCTGAACTGCTAAATACTTATTTCTTTACAAGAGATTATAATATGTTTTTCAGTATCGTGTTGTTCAAAGAATTTATCTATGTACATTAAGAAAAAAACGGCAAAATATAAACCCCGCCCACCCGCCCCATCTCAATTCTGGTGATTTTTTTATTGTTAGAAACCTTAAATACGTCTAAAATTGTAAATTTTTGTAAGGAAATATGGATTTTGCAGTTAAGTTCCGCCCTCTTGGCTGACGACGAATAAAAAAAAATCGTCACAATTGAGAGAGGGCACGTGGGCAGGGCTATAGGTATTTTGTTTTTTTTTGCTTAATATAAATAGCCATCTCTTCACAACAAGAAACTTAAACATGGTTAAAATGGTACATTTTTGCAAGAAAATATGGATTTTGCAATTATGGGGCAGAGCCTAATTGCAAAATCGATATTTCCTTATACAAATTTTCCATTTTAAACATATTTTAAGTTTCATGTTGTGAAAAATGTAAAAAACAAAAAGGCAAAATGTAATCGAACGCCTTAGAAAAGTCCGTGTAAAGGCAATCAACCTGTCCATGCTTGTCCAGAAAGTTGCATAGGTAGTAAAAATCTGACCCTGTCATCCTGATAGGATATTTTTCGTTTGTTACTAAACTACGAAACTTGAAGCTTTTTAGAATGAAGAAATTACCTACAGGCATTTACAGCGTTCCTTTTGTAAAAAGTTGCCATTTTTGTCCACAATATAACATTCTGATAGAATTCCACAATATTTTAAAAATAATGCAGTGAAATGTTCAAAAAAATTTCTTCCAAACATTAATACGACTTATTTTTTTAGTTCTTTAATTAATTCGATTCTGTTAGGCATATAATTAGCATCAGTGGCACAAATAGACTGGACAGGATGCGTTCATATTTGACTTAAGTCTTTAAAATTAATTATATACCTAGTTAGAATAATCGGGGTTAAATATATGTTTGCAGAGCATCCCTCGTAAAACCACAAAACCCAAAAAACTCCAAAATGAGCAGAAAGGTAATTAACACTTCTGTTGGATTTAAATCGTTACCGCAAAGAGAAGCAGTTTTGGAATAAGACACAAATTGAAAAGAGCAACGAATTAAGAGCTTTTAAAGACTGAAACACTTTACACATTCAATTTTGTAATTATTTTAAAAGCTTTTGGGTTTGCAAATTTTCATAAAAACTATGTGTCTATTCCGATAGGAAAAAAATTGTGATTATGTTATAACACCCCAAATAAAAACAATGTCCTTTAAAGAATTATTACGGAAGGTATTTAGAACGACGTTAATGAAATTTTATTTAAACATTTTAATCTCAAGAATATTCTTTTCTGTGGAGTTAATTAACGTTAAAGTTTCATTTAAAAGTTCTTCTGTTGGGAAAGCACAGATGAATCTAATTCCAAAGCTGACAGGAGAAAGCCTCGCCACACACCGATGTTTAATTAATCAACTCGGAGCTGCTTGCTTGGTTTATTAACAGCATTGATCATTGGCGTATTCACACAGCCAACCGCAGACGAGATCAAAACCTGCATCCTTTCTCGAACCGATTGCGCGCCTATTCTAATTTCATCAACCCCGCAACCTCGAAGGTTCATTATTATTATCCACCAAATGCCCTTCTTCGATGTTTGTAATGTTTACTAGAAATTAATCATATTAAAAAAATATTCATAATAAGACAAACTTACGCAAATGAAGAAGATACTAATAATTACTAAGAAAAATTAAAAAAAAAACACTAAAATTGTTTTATATAGAACCTCCCTTTCCCCAGTAGTGTGAATACATTTTTTGTTAATAGGTTTCTACTTGTTATTGCGGCTAAAGCTTGGTTGTATGAGCGCTAGGCTGTCATCAGATCATTTGTGCTACGATATACTCCTAACTTTTATAAAGCAATAGACACTATTAAAATTGGTCTAAAGTTATTTAGACAGAACTTCCCTCGCCCCTGAATTACTGAAGTACAATACAACAAATCCAGCTTTCTAATATTTAATTTTGCGATTTTTTTTAATGATAACCCTGTAAGTTAAAATAAATTTATGAATGTAATCTTATAGTAAAGGTAAGGAAGCATGCCATGTCTATATTTCA